TTTTTCGTAAGATGAAGCATTCGTAAGTAGAGGTACCACTGTATCAATCAGTACCAGGGTGCATTGGTAAAATTAATAGATAAATATTAATGCATAAACTCACCAGGAAAGCTTGGGGAACCAGGAAGTCTGGGAAGTCACACATTAAGATTGCTCAGAAGACATCTTATTGATTAAGAGGATGCCTTTCTGATCCAGCAGTTGCTTTCTGCAGCAAATTCCATGTCAGAGAAACATTGCTTTGCAACTGCAACTGGGGCACAGATACTCATGCATTGCAAGTGACTCTTTATCCCAGCAGGTATTGGTCAGTTTTGCCAACATGGGGGAACTAAAGTTTCCCAAAGACACCTGTTCAAAATGAGCAACAGCATGCAAAGGAAGGGAGCCAACTGAGTGATGTAGTTGCTCCAGAGCTGTCCAATATGCTTCTCCCCCCTGGCCTGGGCACCTGGCTGCAAAGCTGCTATCTGGCCTCTTCTTCATGTTGCCCCAATGATGTCTTCGTCCTTGGGTCCAGCACATGATCCAAGCAGCAGTAGGAACAATAAAGTCAGAGCACCAATGCATTACCAATGGAAAACAACCGTATTCTTGTTGTAAGGCATTAACAAGGTAACCTCAAACATGCTAAAATGCAGTAATGCAAATGGTTAAGGACACTTTATAAGCACAAAAATAGAAGAAACAAAACTCTGAACACTTCAAAAGATACAAAAAAGTGCCTTCCAACAGCAGTGCTTTAAAAATGCACACAATGGTATATTCTTATTGCTCAAGTAAACTATTCCACAAGAGGATAATTCAAGCCCAGGGCACATTTGGGGAAAGAGATCAGCTTCAGATGACACAGCACCAAGCCTTTTCCGCTCTTAAAACTCTTCTGGCCCAAGTTGTACCAAGGCAGGTATGTTTGAATTTTCTCTTTTGCTAGGGCAAAATGTTTCCTGTTGGAAAACCTTTTTCTTCATAAATACAAATGGGTCAGGGTGGACAGTTTGCTGAAAGACTATGCCCAATAAATACCTTCTGCTATATTAATGCTCACTTCAAAATGTATGGATAAACAGCGCTAACTGCAAGACTCATCACTCCAGTTTGGACAACTCTCTTCCAACTAATCAATATGTTTAAAGTACAGAACAAACAGAACGTCCTTCCTCCCCGACAGATACACCTTCACAGCAGAAATTATATGCAGTTTACGACAAATATCCCATAGTAGTCAATAGGCAGAGTTTTACCACCGGTGTGTTGTATTGCACTGCGTATACAGTACTAGTGTTTCAGAACTAGGAACTCCTCACCTAAGGAAAATATCTGGTAAAAATACATTTCTAAAGTTAGCATTCCTCTTATACCACAGGTCCTTTGTATGAAGCACTCTTTTACACTGAAACCCAACCAATCAGAAATGGCAGAAGCCAAGGCATCCCCCTACTGTCTAGCTTTCACAATGAGTTTTTACTAGTCCCTGGTGTATGAGAAGTGCATTATTATGCCTCGCACCTTTTCCCCAG